ACCTCAGAACTGTACTAATTTGTATGCCTCTAGGAACTTTAGCATACCACATTGGCCCTGTCCATCTAAAGTGCCTTCTTGCTACTAGTTTTCCACCTTTATCTTTCTCCTGAGATAGAAACGATATATGACAATATACATGCTGCTTAATTGGATTTGCAGTTTCCATGTCCATAGCATGTTGTATTACTTTGATACTTCCTAACTCTTGAACAAATCGCATAAAGATATCTTCTTTCTTTAGCAGCAATCTTTTTGCTTGCTCTACCTGTTCCTCCATCAATTTATCTATTAATTCTATTGCCTCAATCTTTTCCTTTAACATCTCCACCTATTCCTCATCAACTGTTATGGAGAACTCTTTGATTTGAGATAAGTAGGCAGCCAGACCCAATATACTCTCCCAAATTTCTTGATCTAATTCTAAATCACTTATGATCTCTTCTACAAAGTATCCTTTCTTTTCGTCTATTTGCTCTTCCTTATATATAATCTCATCCAAGATGTGGTCTGTTATTTTCTCTTTGTTCATATTATTATCTGATTCTTCTGCAATGTTTATCTCATCTGCTGGCACTCTCTTCATGATGTCATTGGAAATAGATATCTTAATTACTTTTTCTGTATATTTGAAAACCAACCTTTGTTTATCATAATATATCCAGGCCTTCACTCTTTCGAACCAGTCATTGCCTAGCAAAAAGATCTTGTCGGTCAAGTCCACTACTTGTAGTGATATTGGGATTTGGCTTCCTTGTATCATGATTTTAAGATTGTTAATATTACCCAAGGTTCTAGTTCTCAATTCTGTGAAAGTCATTATCTTGCTTATTGATTTCTTCTCAATCTTCAACTTGAGCTAGTTCATCAATTTCATTATGATAAAGCTTATAGTAGCTTCTGTATCAATCATAACAACTATAGGTATATTTCTTACCTTAATCTGATATTTCATAATTGACATCAGGAAATTTCTGGAAAAATCTTCGAAAATCTTCAAAGGTTTTTAAGAATTTTTAATATAGAATTTTTTAAAATAAAAAAA